GTTATGCACAAACAATGAATCATGGAACACTACATCTAAAACTAATGATGTAATGTATGGTGATTAACATAACAGTAAAAAAAGATCGTTGTGACAATTTATGTTTTGTTGTTTGGGCATTTTAAATATTTAAGAGAATCTGGTGTATTAATTAACTCATGGAAATAGAAGGTTTTAACTGAATTTGCAGTTGATGATGAAATGCCTAAGAGCAACTGACTTACAAAATTTTTAAGGCTTCAAATGTGTGGAAAGACTGACACTAGCAGGTGAAGGTGGGCTCTGTGACATGCTGGCAGGGTAAGGGAGAAGCAGAGAAACAATCTGTAAGCATGGAGGGAGACAACCACTTAAGCTTCAGAGTGGTCAGGGAAATTGTAATCTGCCAAATTTAGAAAAGAACTGTGTGTTAATCCAAGAACAAGTGAAAATGAATTTTTAATTTCAAAAAAAAATATCACTAGATATTTAAATAAGGTAAGACTTATACTTTGGGCTTACAGGTTTAGGAAATACTTGGTTTCTAAATTCACAACGGAAAACTCAAATATTAATTAAACACAAATAACTCTACATTATGCTTTCTGATGCTAAACACCTTCCCTCTCAGACATTAAAAATTCAGTGAACTTATCTATGAAACATCAATTGTATGATGTATAAATCCTAGCAAGAAACAATCAACTCCTAGAGTGTAGGAACCTCGGTGATGACTAATGAACAGGATCATCCTGACTTTTCTTGAATTTCTTCTTAATTTTTGCTATTCAGTGAACAAGAAATCACTGTATTCAGTAATGTAAAATAAAATCTCACATGAAACTTGAGTTTTCATAAGCAAAGGTCATCTACATCCATCTCTGACATTCAACTGTCCTTCCTGACCCTTGTAGAAGAGTGTACGATTTCCATACAGCTGAGAAATTTAAACACCTCAACTAATTCCCTTGAAATCACAGTTATGAATGCTTTTGCTTTTGTGTCCATATTAACTTTTTCAAAAGTTACAGATGCTTTTTATTCATGCTTATCATTCCATATGAATATGCGCTCTGTCAGAAATGTTAATACCCCAAACAACACAGGCATGGCCCGCTGGGGGTTCAGGAGTCTATGGTGTAAGACAGCGCGTGGTGATGACTCGATGGAGCAGGCTATGGAACGAATGACAAAGGTCCAACTTGGTAAAGCCCAACGCAGACAATTACAATTGGAAAAGCAACTTTCCTCTGCTTTAACTTATATAGGTTGTGCTTTCAATTTGAGATACGTACAAATTTGTATTTTAAGGAACGTGTTTGAATTCTACAGTGGGAGATTAACTAGAGTCACACTAATCAAGTCATAAACTGTGACACACCCAATAAAAACTCCAAATATCTTTGGTATTGAAAAGTGGGAAGGGGAATATTTGTGAAGTAAAAATTGTTTTTTCCTTGCAGACTTCAGCTGCATCAACTGCCTGTGGTTCCCTGAAAAATAAAGAGAAAATCTAGACTCCATTCACGAGAAAACAATCTCATAACTTCCACAAACTATGAAAAAATATAATCCAAATATTTGTCTTATTTTACTAAATTTAGAGATAAAATAGAAAAGCAGTGATTTTAGTTTGTCTTTTAACTTTCAGTTTGTAAAGCTCCCCTCTTCTTTCTTTTTAAAGCAATTAGTTGTTAATGATGAGAAGTTTGCTTTTCCTTGAGCTGGGCCAGCAGCCACCTCAGCTGTTGGTAACTGAATGTGTCTCTTGCTTGTAACTATTTCAAAGTAGTATTTACATCAAATAGTACGTAATAGTGAATGAAAGAGTCACTTGAAAATAATAGATAAATATACAATATTGCTTCCCAGAAACATGTGAGAAAAAATAGTTTGGTCATGAATGATGAATTATGACACTGAATGAGAAAAAAAACTCTCAAATACGAGCACATTTTGTTTAACCTGGAATACTTCAGCTATCATCTTTAATTTTCCACTCATTCTTAAGAGGGTGTACCCACTCAGCAAGAGTGTCTGTGCATGCCAATATATTTTTAAGCTGCTTTGCTTTTTTATTTAAAGTGTTAGTGAATTTTAAAACTCCTTTGCCTCTGAAGTACAATTATTTTTAGTACCACAGAACTATGTTAGGACAAGCTTGTATAAGGTCTGAGGTTTTCTATAAAACTTTTCTGGACTGGACGATACCAGAGCCTTTGCCAATGACTGGTGCTCCCACTCCCGTCCTCTTCATCGTCACCTCACCCGTCCTCTTCCTCTCAGCCTAAACCATACTCCAGACTCTGCAGTCTTGCAAGCATAGCTCTGGACTCTGTGCCCTCACCTGAGGGAAGAATGTCTTGGGGGTCTGAACAGTCATCCCCAAATCACCTGCTCAGGCTTTCTGGCTACAGACTAACCTCCATGACCAAAATACTCAGCAAAACTCACCACCAAATGCTTAGCTGGGAAACAAAACAAAACAGCTCCGGTTTGGGCCCACTCTCCGTGATGTTTTTGAAGCACCTAGCACTGTTGACTTTTCTTGGCTCCTTTTTCCCTTTCTTCCCTCGACTTCTCAGAACTGACTCTTTCTGGGTTCTTTTTCCATTTCCCTGACTTTGCTTTCCTGGTGACATTCCCTCATTCCTTTTTCTTCTTTTTTTTTTTAAGATTTTATTTATTCATTTGAGACAAAGAGACACAGAGAGAGAGAGAGAGAGAACATGAGCAGGGAGAAAGGGAGAGGGAGAAGCAAGCTCCCCGCTGAGCCAGGAGCCCGATGTGGGGCTTGATCCCAGGACCCTGGGATCATGACCTGGGCCAAAGGCAGACACTTAACCATCTGAGCCACCCAGGCGCCCCCCTCATTCCTTTTTCTTTAACGTGTTTTTACTCCCAAGGTTCCACCCTTGGGCCTAGGTTTTAACTTGCTAAGTCTAACATTTTCATGGATGATTCAACACTCCACACCCACATTTTTTTTAACTTTTGAGACAATAGAAGATTCACATGCACTTGTAAGAAATAATACAGACAGATCCCAAATATCCTTCATCCCCCTGGTAATATCTTACATAGCATAGCTTTAGTACAGTATCACAATCAGGAAATTTTGATTGGTATCTTGATATGATATGGTACATTTGATATGATTCATCAATATTCAGAGTTTACTCATTTCACATGCACTATGTGTGTGTGTGTTTGGTTCTATGCAATTATTTCATATGTACAGGTGATATACCTACCTTTGGACTCACATTTCAAGGCCCAGAGATAGGCTCTTATCCTTTCAGGAAGAAGGGAGGTTGAGGAAGACATACAGCAGCAGTTCCTAATCCTGACAATACCCATATATTCTAAAACGGACCCTCTGCCATCAGCAGAGTGATCCTCAAACTGTGGCATGTAAATCCCCACCTCTCTATAATGTTCTCCTAGTCTGCAACCCTCCACGAGATCCTTTCAAAGTCTGCCCATCCTTCTAAGTCTGGCTTAGGTCCTTGCCCAAGGGAAGCCCCCATGGTGCTACTGGTCCACAAATGAGTCCTCTTGCATTAATCCTGTCTCTCCAGTTACACGTAAAGTTCCTCTAGGATAGAAATGAGCCTTTTTCTGTGGGTCTCACAGGTCTGAAAAATATAGGTCCTCAATACAAAATTCAGCTAAGATAGGAAAAGAGAGAGGAAGTGAAGAAACGAGAAAAAAAGAAACAAGGAAGGCAGAATTTACTATCACAGAAGAGTCTAGAAACCAGAAACTAGATTTTTAAAAATAATATAGCAAGCATGGGCAAAAGGCTACAATCTTTCCTTTTCTTGCCCATGAGAATTAATATTCTGAAGAATCTCACCCTCTTCAACTGTGAGCAGGTTGCCCAAATCTGCTGATGAATGATACTGGACTGGCTCCGAATTTTTCACATTTGCCAGTGGCAGGAAAGGATCGTAATCCGGGGAGGACAGGTCGGCCAGGGTCAGTGTGTAGTGACTCTGTTGGGTGTATGTGCTTGAGCCACAAACACAGCAGTGCAGAACCTGTGAAAAACAGAAGGGAATGTGTGCCGTGGATGCGACGAACCTCCTGTCTCCTGACAATCTGCCAAACCACAACACTTAGGAGGTAGGTAATACTTGAAGACATAGAATCCCTTCCATTCTAAAACATCTTCTTGCTATTTGCAAGTTTATTTTGCTCCTTTTACATCAATGCCAATAAATATATTCTCAAGACAAAAGGAAAGTGAAAGTTAAAAAGTGCTTATTTTGCCATAAGTCCTGCTGTGGTCCACCAGAATGTTCACAGATACTCTTTTTATGGTCCCAAACTCTACTACCCAAATGTCCATCAACAGTACAACAGATATAAATCATGGCATACTCTCACTGTGTATTACCAAATAGCAACAAGTGAAAAATCTGCAACTATTCACGAGTATGAATGAATCCTTCAGAAATAATGCTGAGTGAAGGACGCCAAGCACAGAAGCACATACTGCATAATTCCAGCTCTACAAAGTACAAAAAAAATCTACACTGTTAGACAGGCTAGCAGTTACCCTAGGTGTGTGCATGGAGATAGTGACTAGTACGGAGGCATGATGGGGGCTTCTGGGATACCAAGGCTATTCAGTTTCTCCAGCTGGGATCTGTTTTCACAGGTGTGATCACTTTGTGAAAATTCATCAAGCTCTCACTTATGACTGAAGCACTTTTCCGGATGCGTATTATACTTAATAAAAAGTTTCTTTTAAAGATACAATAATGTTATTAAATAAATTTGTGAATCATGTTAACTAGGAGGTGACTCTTTTATTGGTAAAACAATTTTAAGAGAAATCTTTTAAGAAAAGAAATATCAGAAAAGAGATAAATTTAAATGACTGTGGCTACTTTACTTGGTCAAGTCAGGCCTCAAATAGGTTTTATAAGCCACAAAGATGACAGAAGTATCTAATGAATCCTAACAGTTATTAAAATTTTTGACCACTAAAGAAACCATTTAAAAATACACAATACTTTTTAGTAGAATTTCAACCGTGTTAAGTGTCTTTTCCCCTTGTATCCGATACATTTTAAAACAAGGCAACACAGTAATAAGTTAATGACCTGGAATTTTTTTTTTTTAAAGGTTATTAGTAGGGGCCCCTGGGTGGCTCAGTTGGTTAAGCGCCTGCCTTTGGCTCAGGTCATGATCTTAGGGTCCTGGGATCGAGCCCCGCATCGGGCTCCCTACTCAGTGGGGAGCCTGCTTCTCCCTCTGCCTCTACTGTTCCCCCTGCTTATGTTCTCTTGCTCACTCTCTCTCTCTCAAGTAAATGAAATCTTTAAAAAAAAAATGTTATTAGTAAAGGTTTGTTACTAAAAAAATAAACAAAATTGTCTCTACTAGTAGTAATTATTCAATGGATACACAAGTGCTAAATTCATAAATAAAGCTTTCACAGGAGGGACTGTAAAGCAAATATAGGATAATACAGAGTCCAGAGCAAACACCATACCTACGTATCAGTAGGGGGTGAAATTCAAGTATTTTGAGTACGATAAAAATGATGAGACTAAATACTTTCATGTTATATATTTCCTTAATTTATTTCTTAAGATCTTGGGGTGCCTAGGTGGCTCAGTCGGTTAAGCATCGGCTCAGGTCATGAGCTCAGGGTCCTGGGATGGAAACCTGAGTCGGGCTCCCTGCTCGGTGGAGAGTCTGCTTCTTCCTCGCCTCCCTGCTTGTGCTCTCTCTTGCTATCTCTATCTCTTTCTCTCAAATAAATAAATAAAATCTTAAAAAAATTTATTTCTTAAGATCTTTTAAACAAAGAGACTACTGAGACCTTTATACTTTTTCTTCCTTTGATAAGCAGATTTTTGTCAAACTATGGCTATAAATATTCCTACAATATAAACAGTTCTTTTTAAAATTAAGTAGAGAGAGACCATGTTACATGAAAATTTTGGGGGGGGTGGTTTCTGGTCAAATTGTAGTTGTTTAAAGATGGAAGTCATGTGAAAATGCAGGCTTCTTTCACTTGGTAACCATTGCTTCTCTACCATAATATCTGCTCCGTTTTCACTACTTAAATTATTCATTTCTTCTAAAATGCTTCAGCCCCTTAGTATATGCTTTTCAAAAGAGCACAAATAAGTAAATGTATAAAACATATTTTGGTAATTCTCTGATGCTGAAGTCTATATTCTATGCCCCTGAGGCCCAAATGGAGACTCACCCTATAGATATAGTCCAGCAAAGGGGCTCTGGATGAGTGCTGCCCCTCCAGGGCCGCCGTGGACACTGGGCGGAGAAGGGTGCTCACTGGCAATGCCATGCACCAGTCCAAGAGGCAGAGTAGCAAGGACACGATAAACTGGAAGAGGAGACAGGCCCAGTAACATAAACTGCAATCTTTCAAACTTCACTACATGTAATAGCAAACAACAGAACTGTCCCTGCACAATAATAATTATTCAGTGGACACACAAATGCAAAAGAAATAAATGAATAAATGAAAGTTTTCACAGGGGAGACTGTTAGGACCAATACAGAAGAATACTATAAAGGATATCCCTACATAGAAAATTATTTATCATTTTGTCTTACATTAAAAAAAAAAAAACAAACTCTGGAAAAAACTTAGCTGATGTGCCACCTACCTTTTTATCTGTTTCCACTGAGGAGTACTCTGCACTTGGTAAAAGAAAAGCAATTGTGGCCACAAGGATCTGCATAAAAGACAAATCCCCAATGAAACAGACCATAGCAATAGTTTGGGAAACCATATGATAAGAGTCCCAAGATGGCCTTGCACTAAACCCAGCTTGGTGCCAATTCGCTAGAGAAAGGTGACAAAAAGCAGAGAGCCACTTTAGAGCTCTCTCCGGTCCTGAAAATCAGGAGAAAGTGATAGAGCCTTGCCCAGGCTCCACTCCACTCTACTGGTGCTGAAACTGGGGGCCCCAGAGGAAGGAACATTTCTCTCTGTGGTCACACAATTCCCATCATCATCCTCTACACTTCACACAATGAAAGTAAAAAATATTTTCAAAAATAACTATGAAAATGCTCCCATTTGATTTTCTTATAAACCATTCAGGTCTCCATCTGTTGTCCTGGTGTAAAAGCACCCCTTGCATTCTCAAAGGTATTCCTCTTTCGATGATAAACTATAACTGATCTTTGAACAACCCAGGGATTAGGGGTGTTGACCCCCTGACTTCCCTCAAATTTAAATACTAATAGCCTACTACTGGCTGGAAGCCTCATCAATAACATAAACAGTTGATCAACACATATTTTATATGTTAGTTGTATACTATGCTGTATTCTTACAATAAAGTAAGCTAGAGAAAAGAAAATGTTAAGAAAATCATAAGGAAGAGAAAATACATTTACAGTCCTCTACTGTATTTATCCAAAAAATCCACATACAAATGGACTTATGCAGTTCAAACCCGTGTTGTTCAAGGGTCAACTGTACACAGTTGCCCTAAAACACAACTTTACAACTTGCAGCATCTGATATTCCTGTGTCCAGAGCTCTGTTCCACTCTAGGTCACCTAGAGAACTAAGTGATCTCACTGGTGAAATCCGTCTAGGGCTGAGAGAAAATAAATCAGTATCACTTCCTCTCTCCCTGTAATACCACACAGAGATAAATCAAATTTCCTTGAAGAGTTACCACTGGATGTGTAAAGAACAGGGCATGTTTCAAAAAGTGTAGCTTTCAAAACTGGCAGGGATGGATGTGCCTTATATGCAGGCACCTACAGAGGGGAGGGTACCCGCTTCTGTACAGGCAAGCACCCTCAGATGGAACTGACCTCCAGGATATCATCACTGGGATGATTCTTCCTGTTCCTTCTGTCCTTCTCTCCCACCAACTACCCTCACCACCCCTCTCTCCCCAAGGGTATTACAGTAGTAATCACATTACAGCTGGGTAATCACGCTATGGCAGAAAGCGTGGTCCGGGGCTTCAGTCTGGGAAAGACTCCTGTTTCATACAACAGTCCCCCCCACTCCCTGCCCCTGCATGGAGGGCATCATAACCAGCTGCCTACTCCTTGTTGGCACCATCCAAATTACTCTCGATGAATGAAGCTCAATCTACAAAAGGTCTCTTTGTTGTGGTCGTGTCTGCCTTTCAAACTCCCCAAGTGTGAGACTCTGCCCTGAACACTGGTGGCTTCTTTACGTAGTGCCTGAAATCACAGCTGAGAAGGGCCAGTGCTATTTACTCTTAAAACGAATGACTCGTATGGCAATGTAATAGACAGTTCTCTAACAATTATGTGAGTATCTGTAATTCATTAAATACCGCATAGAGTAAGAGGGAAATGCTTATGTTTTAGCATTACAGGAAAAGACTTACTTCTGCAATTTTCCGAGGCAGAGAGGTTTCAAACATCTGAAGCTTTTCCCAGTAGGAAACCAGCAACTGAAGAACATCACAGGCCACCTGAGCCACGATTTTGTTAGAAAACTATAAAAAGAAACAAAACCCCAAATGAAAGGACTGAACTTAACATGTACATTTGTCCTGAGGAAGAAAAGAACAGGCATTTCTTTCCAGCGATATTTAGGGATACATTTTCTTGTTTGGCATTCAGTTTTTGAAAAATGTGTCCTGGTACCAGATAGTTTGTATATGATCGCCATCCTGTAACTGCCTCTTGTCCAGACTAGCTGTATTAATTTATGTAATGTTCTGCAGAAACAAGTAGCTGTTGTTCAGTCATAGAAAAATTAAAACCATAATTTCAGATGCCTCATGCAGATCACACAAATCATAGTTTTGACAATGAGAGGAAATTAAAATGTAGTCCATTACTGAGTATTCCCTATGTGCTGGACATTTTACAAGAATTTCCTCATTTTCACATTGATAAATCTTCATTAGCAGCTCTGCAAGGTAGACGTGGTCTTCACTTTACACCTGGAGAAACAGGGACTGAGCAAGTGACTTTCTATCTTCTAAAATTAAACTGAACCTGCATGTGTAATGTACTAAGAAATGTGAAACTTTGGCTACTGCAAGAACATTAGTCATATGTTCTGGTGTATCCAATTACTTTGAGTATGTTTTTGGAGTCTGGTGTGTGTCCAAGGTCCTCTGGATGCTCCCATTTCTTGTGAGATGGCATATCAATGGGGAGGGATGGTGCCTACAAGGTCCACTGGCTGGGGTGGATGAAACAGATGAAGGTACCCTGTACCTCTCTCCCTGGCCAGAACCTGGGACTACTCTGCTATCCACACCTCATTATTTACAGAAGAAGGGTTTGTCACTGATTTTGGGCCCCTGTCCAGGGAAACCTCTGGATATGTAGTTTAGTTTTTTCCACTCCAGGAGCTCCAAGTCCCATCAAGCAGATCCCAATTGACCTTAGGACCACATAGACACAGAAAAGTCAACATTTAGCATCTCAGTGTAAATGCACAGGACAAAGAAATTAAGGCAAAGGGGATTCATTTGAATTCTAGGATAAACACTTCCTGACTGCCCCTTCCTGATAGGCACAAAGTACACCCAGGGCAAGAGCATCTGTGCTCAAGCTCTTCAGAGCCTGGCCTCTAAGCCTCAGATGACCTGATGCTCATAGGCTTCTTTCAATCCCTCAAATACTGGCTTGCTTCTGCCCCAGGGCCTTTGCACTTGCTCCCTGCTTTGCCTGGGACACTCATACTCCAGGTCTGCATGTTGCTGGCACTGCCACATCTTTCAGATCATGGCACTAAATGTCTCCTCCCTGAGGCCACCATGCCCATTTGAAGGAGTGGCAGCCCACCTGCTCCAGCTCTTCAGCTTCATCCTATTTCCCTCTTATAGTTCCCTTATGGCATTAAGGGCTATCAAGCTGATCCTCTGTATTTGTCTGCCTATTCTTTCATGTGTTTAATTTTTCCACATCTTGTTCACCATTATATTCTTTTTTTTTTTTTCTAAAGATTTATTTATTTATTTGACAGAGAGAGACACAGCGAGAGAGGGAACACAAGCAGGGGGAGTGGGAGAGGGAGAAGCAGGCTTCCCGC